TGCGGGGGGTAGTTGGCCGACCGTCATGTCGGGACGCGGCGGACATCGGAAAGACGTGCGACGCGTCCGCGCCAACGTATTTTAGTCGTAAATTTGGGTCGAAAATAGGGACGCGCGGACGCGTTTTAAAAATATGGTCGGCGCATTGGACCATTACTTTTGTCCGTGGCGACCCAAACAGACAGCGGCGGACGAAAGGGGTCGTCGCGTTCGAGTTGCTCTAACCGCATGTTTTCCACGAGAAGGGTGCGGAATATTTACGATTTCCTTTAGACCATTTTATTTGCATATTTCTACCGGGAGGAGTTGGCCAGAGCATGCCTCTGAAATTTTTAGAGACTTGTTCAGACTGTTTTTGTGCTGCGAGATGGGAAGAAACTTGCGCGAAACTCAAACTGTTCACACCGGACCTGTACAGCACTCCGCTTTTGGCCCGATGGTGACCGTTGCGCGATCTAATTACTGTGCTTCACCTCGTCTTGTACGGCGTGACCCGATGCACGACTGCAGCCAAGAGAGCTACCAGTGTTTTGGCCCGGCGATGACCGCATGCGCCGCGCGTCACGGGAGTATGTCATTTGCTTATGTAGGGGCTGGACATCTTCCCAAATCTCGAAAGGAAAAAAGAAGTGGGATCTGGAGAGACACGCATCCTGACTTGTCAAGTCTCGACGGAAGTCTTTCTCGATTCTGAATATTACTATGGACCTGGAGGTAATTGAAGTCGTCGCGTTTTATTTTTCAGCCAGGGGAGAACCCGTCGGATTACTTTCCGGTGAAGCAAAACTTTACCACCAAGAGAGCTGCATGTTCTCCGGAAGGAAACACGATGAATGATTTTTCTTCCCTGGAGGATGAATGATTTTTTTAAAAGCAACATACTATAGGTTCCGTGTATTGATTTGCCGTAAACTCGTGTTTACTAAAGGAAAACCTTTGGTTCTCTAGAAGGAAACACGGTGAATGATTTTTTCTTCCCTGAAAGATGAATGATACTTTAAAGCAGCATACTATATGTTCCGTGCATTGACTTGTCATAAACTCGTGTTTACTGCAATGAAAACCTCTGGTTCTCTAGAAGGAAACACGATGAATGATTTTTCTTCCCTGGAGAAGGAGAATGAATGATACTTTAAAGCAGCACACCATATGTTCCGTGTATTGATTTGTCGTAAACTCGTGTTTACTGTAAGGAAAACCTTGGTTTTCACACAAAGGCACTGACCGTGCACGTCACTTACCGGTGAGACCAATGCACCTCACTTACCGGTGAGACCAATGCACCGTTCTCTCGCATCCTCTCATTTCTTATTCTCACCTAATTGGTCCTCTTCTTGGCCAGAGAACCGACCGATCCCCTCCTCTCTTCCAACGAGTCATGTTGAGGCCGCCGCCGGCGGAGCTTACTGCTGCAATGTCAGGCCACTCGTGCTGCGAGGCGATTGCGGGTGCTGCAAGCGCTGCCTCCCCCATGCATCATGGGTCCACCCCCTTGACCAGCAACAGTGGTGTTGATGCAACCTGCTGCGTGCCACTCAGGCCAGCCATATTGCGACAAGCGTGAGAGGGTAGGCATCTTCACTGGTGTTGCGATCCACCGCACCACTCTGTTGCGAGCCACCACACTGCACTCTTGCGAGCCATCACCTGTGTTGCAAGTCGCCCAAACGTTGTTGTTGTGACCCATTGTTGATGTTGTAAAGCTCATCATCGGTGTTGCAAGGGATGGATGGCTACAACAAGACAACAATGAGAGCCACAAGCCAACGGATGAGAGATGTTGCAACGCGGAGATGCAACAAAATCCACGTTGTTCTGCGCGAGACATGCGTTTCGTGCGGGAAGGGGGAGGGTAGGGGGCTGCTCACATAATGATACAATCAGGGGAGGACAAGACCGAACGGTTATGCTATTGCTATCGGACGGCTCAGTGGGTGACCACTCGATGGCATCTATCAACCAACTAACGCCTAACATTGGCAATAGTACTAATAGTAGAGCAAATATTCTCTAAAAACTACTGGAGCGAATCTAGTCAAATTGAAAATTTAGGATCTAGTATTACACATAAAACCCATGCAAAAGAATTGCCGGAACAAACCTATGCAATTTGTATGTAAATTCTACCGAACCAGGGTGTTGTAGTTGACAATTGGAAACTCAGTATAGTATCAGATGGTTGTTAATATTCACAATTACCAACTATCTAACCGGCCCAAAAATACCTCGAGTATTTTATCCTTTAATTCGAAATTTTGACACAAAAATATTTCGTTGAATACCTATCAGTGAAACACCAAAAATAAATTTATGTAAGCCAGTGTTCTCCAAGTCGTCACCATAGATCCAATTTTCGCCCCTCTGCTCCACAATGCCTCCTTCCATGCTGTAAAGCGGAGAGATGAGAATTCTCGTATTTGCACCATCATTAAGAAGTTTCTTCGATTAGGTTTAGTGTCGTAGCGATGTCCCTTTGATGGTGCTGGTGATGTTGTCTCGAATAAATTTCCTCTGACTGCAATCCTGTCTCGGTGACGCTTTGCCTCATTGTTGATGAGGAGCTGGTCCTTTTTTCCTTGCAGATCTTCATGAACGACGAGTTGGTTCTTCTTGTTTTCTGTTCATGGGGTTCCTTGGGCGTCGCTGCGATATCATCGTTTTCTTCACCAATCCATTCTTTCGAGCCTTTACAAGCATGGTCATTGACATGGTCTGGCGATGTTGGCCTGGCTGCCTACCTAGGTCGATGCAGTGCCTCGTTTGTATTGTGTCAATTCAACGATGTTTCATCCTCCGATACTTCATTAGCTGAATTTCTCGATGTTATTCATGGGGACGAGAGCTATGGTGATACAACAAT